AAACTTTTATTACTCGATTTTTTGCCCTCGACCAAAAAAGTTTGCCCATCCCTGGACTAGACTGACCCACCCACCCCCAGGATTCAACCAGCACTTTAGCGATCAAGGGCGAAGCAGAACATTCTAGTTGCATTTTCATATTTATTGCTACGAAANCAACACTTATCTAAAACTTCCTCATTATTGGATTACATTTTGATTTATTAAGAGTGTTCCCTTTAATATTCGAAAGACTAATACTGTTGCAGAAGAATGGTATTCAATAATGGACTATGTTTATTTGTTTCATTTTTTTACAACCACGCAATATACCAAAATTTTATCTGTTAACTTATTTCTTTTTAAAAAAAAAAAAAAAATAAGTATCAACATCAATTTAAATAAAATTACTGCAAATAATACTATGCAAGCGTAGCTAAAGCAATCTAAATAGCTATATTTTCTAGGAGCATATAGTGTATAGAACATAATAATTTAGTAATAAGTATTTGACTCTGATAAAATTTGCATTTGCTAGATAAAATTTGCATTTGGCTTTATAAAGGTAATCAGACAGGTTTTTCTGTTAGTGATTCAAAAACATAATTGTCAGAATTTTTCAACAAAAAAGAACTGCATTTTTAATTTACTTTTTTTAAAAAAATAATATTTTTGAAATTTTATTTGACTGGCAAACACTCGGAAGATGACTGACTAGACTGACCCACCCACCCACCCCCAGGATTCTACCAGCACTTTAGCGATCAAGGGAGAAGCAGAACATACTAGTTGCATTTTCATATTTATTGCTACGGAATTGCTGCAATTTTGATAAAGAAAGTGTTATAATACAAATATTTCAATTACAAATATTAAAAATAATAATAATATTAATTATAATTATAACAATATGTTACAATTAGAAAAATTTGCAAGTTATATTATAATAGATAACAATTTGCAAATTCTTACTATTTTAAAATTCAACTAACTTTAATGAATTGAACTGATTTTTGTGACCCTATATAATTGTAGAGTTTGTTTCTCCCTAAGTTTGACCCTGCCAAGCTCCAACTTCTTTGAAAATTCGATTTCAATATAAAAATCAAACTATATTCGAATCTCAACTTCAATAAAATTTTATTTGCGTATTCTTAAGTTTAAACTGATTTTATTGATTAATTAATTGATTATTTGATAGAAAAAAAACTAACAATAAGTACGTTTCTTTAAAGGATTTTTTAGTTTATTTAACTGCCGAAAGATGGCCCAACAAATCGTGTATGAATTTCTTTTCTACCTTTTTCATAAATAAATTCTCTCCTATTGAATTTTTCATTTTATATATATTCTTCTCCTAACATATAACGCGCCATCTATATTAGAAAATAGAAATTACTTCGAAAAACCAGTGTCGTTTTAAGTAATAGCTTCTGTTAGAAAATTTCATGTCAATTTCACATTAATTTCTTTGTCTCCTCAAACTGACTGCATATCTACTTTTATTTAAAAATGTTAGCTGTCAGGTTAGTAGGTGGAATTTTAAAAGTTTAGAATTTTTCTCGAAAAAGTAATTTCTACATATATTGAGGATAATTTATTGATTGGTAGTAAACTTTTTTTACTTGTTTTCATGCAAAATTAAACTACAGAATAATTTTGCTAACATTCAAAAATCGTTTGTTGAACGTTTTTACAGGTTGTTAAGAAAATAATTTTTAAAAAAATAAATAAATAAAAACAGACCAAAAAAAAAATTATTTAAAATTTTTAATCAACAAACAATCTCAAATTCACAGGTAATTTCTCAATTTCGTATTACTTCATTTTCACTAACGATAACTAAAGTCATTTTTTGAGTGATTGATTAATTTAGGGTTTCCTTGATCATCTTTTGTTCCTAAATACCATTTACGTCTTTAATAAAACAAATTGTTTCAAAAAATTTGTATAATTCCTTAAATATTAGTTATTATTTTTTATTACCTAAAACCACATTTTTTAATAATGCACAAATCATCTGTAATAATAAACATTAATCATCTCAAAATTTTTTAAAATGAACAAATCGAATAAATCTAAAATAAAAATTCATAAATAGTCCTTAGAAACGTTCAACATACTGGAGCCAGGGCGCTCAGGGGATGGAGCGCTCGCCTCATAGTAAAGTGAACCGGTTTCGAATCCTCGCGATGGCTGGTCGGTACGAATTCAGCACCCGGCTCGCCCCGACCACAGTGCCGACTTAAAGCATCGTTAGGGACAGACTGATCATGGGTTAGAGTCCTTTTGCCGTTAGACTAACCAAGAGAGGTTTTCGTGGTTTTCCTCTTCTTGTAACGCAAATGCGGGACAGCTTACCTCAGAAAGTCCTCTACAAAGGTCAATCTCTCCCAAAATTTAATCCTGGATTTCCCTTATGTTCTGGACTAGGTTCAAAATTACGGAGAACTAGGTTACGGAGTTGGACAGTGGCAGTCGTAAACTCAAAATTGTGTCAACTGTCCAACAACAGGCATGAAATTAACAACAAGTATAAATTTCTAGGTATTGCTTGATAGAATACTTATGTTTAATGTTCTTGTATTTTTCAACCAATAAGTTTCGTTTCATACAAAAAAATATTTTTTCATTATTTCGAATTTCAAATTTAGCATCAAATTTTCGGTCTATTTCAATAGAATGTATTTTTACACTATTTTGTTTGATTATCAAACAACTTTTGAAAATCTTGCACCGTACTTGGATGAACGGATTGCACTAAATGCATAAAAAAATTCAAAAAATAGCACTTTATTTCAATTTGGGAGAACGCTATTCTTTTAGACTTTAAAGGAATCTCATACCTAAGAATTACACTGTTAATTGTAAGTACATTAAGTACATTACGATGGATCTGATTTTATCATAATCTTCTGGGATAGTTAAAAGTGAACTATATCTGTAAAAAAGTTTTTAACGCTTCGGACACTGTGGGTTAAGTCATCATGTCAATAATTTCAAACCTAGTAATTTTTATTTATACTAAAAGTCTTTTATTGAAAAACTCGTTTATTAAAAATATATTTTGTGACAATTAGGATTATATTAGATTTTGTATTATTTTTCAATTTGAAAATTAAAATGAAACATAGTTCTTATCAGAACGATACTTAATATTCAGTAAAAAAAGTAAATATTAAAGAAAAGTCAAGGAATAATAAGTTTAAAAAATCAATGCATAAATTTTTTTCAGAATTATTGTTTAAAAATACACTTAGAAACAGAGAAAAATCCAACTTTTATATTATCATCCCTTGAAATAAGATTGTACAGTGCGCAAAATAAAAAATGAACGACCCTGAATAACTTTTGATCTAATGATGGAATCTTCATGTTTAAGGTTCAATTTAAATGGCTCAAGAGATTACATTAAAAAACCCTTAGCTTCTGCTTCAACCAATCCTGCGTGGACACCTTTACTTCATATCCGATTAAAACCGAAATTCGATGAATACTTTTCTGAGTTTATTAAAATATGTGGAAGTCAAGGTCATTTAGGATAGATCTGGAATAAAGGGTGGTAACTCTGCACATCGCTTTTTAACTTCTGCAGAAACATGTCTTGCGTGCTTTAAAGTTGTCGTGCTGCAGAATAACTCGACGAGAAAGTTTCTCGCTATGTATAGATTTAATTGCCTTTCTGAGCTTTGTTAACTTTTCCAAATACCAATGATCAGAACCGAGATAGCCTGGTTGGTAGGACGTTGGACTCGTGTTCGGGAGAACGGGATTTCAGATCCAGCCGATCCAGCTTTCCAAACCCGGCATCCAATTACGCTTAGTTTTTAGAAATAAAATGAATAAAGAAACAATTGCTTTGCTCTAATCCTGTAATCGTATTTTATTTTATAATTAACGCTACCTAGCGAATTAAATGTGCATGGATATTTCTTGTCACACTAGCAACTACATTTCAAGTTCAACTTCAATTCCTTAAATAAGATAATTTTGGTTCAATGGACTATATCTCTTGTTCTATTGACTGTAACAAATATTTTTTTTCAAATTCGATCGAGACATGTGTGACGATCATTTCTAGCATTAAGTCTTTAAACTAAAAATGACATGAGCTAAACAATGTATAACTCAGCTTGTGGTCTTTCAAGTAATTATAGTTTGAGTTTTTATCCTCAGTTAAAGTAATTTATCAAGCTTCATATTTTCATTTAAAATATCGTAAACATGCTTGTATAAAAAGTTTATTTTTAAAAGTTCGTTAATGTGTTAATCTATACCAAAAATTCTTATTCGAAAAATATTAACTTAATGTTAAAAATAAGTTGAATACTAATTCTTATTACAACTATTAAATTTTTCAAATAATATCATTTAGTTTAAAATTAATTCGTCTCTTTTAAGAATGGTAATTTTAACAGTTTGAATAATAATCTTATTATCGGACGCTAATTGCTGGAAAAAAAACACTTCAGCTTTTCACACTAACAATGAAAAAACATCAACCTTCACTATGTTTGATATTTTTTAGACATCATAAGAATTTATGCGTTATAGAAAAATATCTGAAAAATGTTCTCTATATTAGACATTTTGAAAAAATATGAAGTTTGTAAATTTATACGAAGCAATAGTTTTTGATTCGAATAATTTTCGAAAAACTTTTGTAGTTATAATTAATCTTATTTAAATATGAAAATTATGATTGTTAAAAATTTGAATTTCGAAAAGAAAATTGAATTTAAGTAAAACACTTATTACTTTATAAAGTTATTTATTTTAAGTGGTAAAACCTTTTTATTGAAAAGTAATCATAATTTAAGAATATCATAATTTAAGAATATCATAATTTAAGAATATCATAATTTAAAAATATCATAATTTAAAAATATCATAATTTGTAATTTATTAATTTTCCAATCTGAGCTCGTTTCTTCAATGTTTAGCAGAGATCGACACTAACTGCATTAAATGACTTTAAAATATATAAGAATATAAATAACAAAGAAAAATGCTTACAAAGCTAGATTTTGGCAACAAAATTTTATTACAGCTTTAGAAACAAATAAAATTTGTACAATAACTCAATAAAATTGCAGGTTTCATTTAAATGGTCCGTAAAATCCTTTGATTGTCAATAAATAAAATGCACTTGGATTGAACAAAACCCTTTAGCCAGCGCTAAATTTTGTATAAGAAGAACATAGGAAATTTGATCAACCCTGCTTAATTATTTATAAACATTTATTTAGCAGATGAGCATCAGATCGTAAGATAGTAAGAAACAAAATCGCATTTTGTTTCAGTTCATCAGATATTTGCTACTAAATTGTTGATGTTATTTTCACTTCTTTTTAACGTTCTCCTCGTTTGCGCCATCTTTTATTGACATTTATAAAATAAAGAGAAATTTGCTGTGTATTTAGTTTAATCATTCCAAAATCCAGTATAACATTCGCTTTCCTTGATTTTCGCATTTTAATGAGTTTTTTTTTAATTATTTTTCATAAAATGAATATTAATGATCTATAATTCGAAACAGACAATTTCGACAAATTTCAAAAGAAATCGAGAAGAATTACTAAAAACAAATAAAGAAAACTTTAAAAATTATGTTATAAAGAAAAAGATTAAGAAAACCAATTTCAGAACTATCTTTAGACTGCTGAACTCATGATTCATATATATATATATGAGCTTACATTCATATTCATATTCATGATTCATCTATATATATGAGCATATATATATATGAGCTTATATATATATGAGCTTACAAGTTCAAAATGAAGATAAAACAAAATAAAATTACAGACATATGAAAAAGGGGGGAAAGGAAAATAATAATAAAAAAATAACCAACAACTGAATAAAAATAACAAACAACTGAAAAAAAAGGATGAAATTTTTTTTAAAAAATCGCAATAAATGATACGATTATATTCGCACGATTATATCCGCAAAAAAGCGGATATAATCGTGTGGGCTGATGAAAAGATTATATCTTTTATTTTCCGAATTTTTCAAAAAAAATTTCCTCCTTTATTTTTTTTCCGTTGTTTGTTATTTTTTTAATTATTATTTTTCTTTTCCCTCCTTTTCATATGTCTGCAATTTTCCTTTGTTTTATCTACATTTCGAACTTATCTCATGTGTTCTGTTTACTTGCAGCTTATGCGCAATAAATGATACTTATTGTTTTTCTTAATTTTCTTCGTGCTTTTCTGTATTTATTTATTTTGCTGTGTGTATGTATATATATATATAAAGATGATCAAATCTCCCATGTTTCCTTACATTTCGTACTAATCTGAAACCACTAGGAAAGAAATAAAAATATGAGACGCTGTGTATCAAAATTAGCCAAGTCCAATTGTGTTTAAAAAAAAATGAGTTCAACACAAGAATATATTCTAAGTCTTTTCTTTTTGAATTCAACACATTTTCACTTTAAACTACTTTTATATACTAAACGTTTACTGAAAAGATCTTTAAATGTTATTCTTCATATATTAAAGTGACACCTCTTTAGAAATGTTTTTTCCTGGATGTTTTCCTCAGTTTCCTTGGAATGGATTTGGCCATTTTCGGCACATAACTACTCAAATAGTCTTTTCAGTTTTAAAAACTACCGCTGAAAAGTGATTATTCTAATACACATATTATTTGTCCATTATCCAGTATCTTTTATACTGTAATAAAATCTTAAATTCTTGTGAATGTGCAAGTCTTGAAAATAGTTTTCTATCATTCATAAGGGATAAGTTTTTGTCACAGAGATTTAAAACACACAATAAGAGTCATGCTATTATCTTGTGTGTCATATCATCAGCTTGGGTCACCGTAGAACCAAGCATGGGAAACACATATTTTTTTTGTCCGGTTTGCTTTTTTGCTTTTTCCTCATTGTGCATCCACAGAATCCCATACCACTTGATGTTATTGCTAACTTTGCGTGATAACTATTATAGCAGTCATTTTGACGAACTATCGATGAAGCAACATGTTCAAACATCTCATTCACCCCTGAAAGTATAAAAATAATGTTTTGTTAAATAAATAGAAAAGCATTCAAAATTCATTTTAAGAGAAAAGTAAACAAATGAATACAGTGTAAAAAATATTCCTCTACGAAATTTTGATGATGAGTTTCAAAATGATGATGGAATTCAAATTTTTTTCTGTAAAGTAAACAAATGAATACAGTGTAAAACATGTATCACTACGAAATTTTGATGATGTATTGTATGATGAATTTCGAAATGTAATGATGTATTAAAAAAAGTAATAAAAATGCACAATTCTCCAAGCGTCTCAAAAAAAGACTAACGAATTCCAAAAATTAATTAAAGATAAACATAAACGGAAGAAGAGGAAATTGCACAGTTTGCTACGTTCTATTTAAGAAACCACAAAAATTCATCGAATTCAGTTTCAAAATGGATAGAAAGTTTGTCAACAGATGGCACTATTTGCTGAGAAACGTGTAAAAACAGTTTTTAAATGAATCATCATTTGAAGCCAGAACTTGAGGAAGAGTTGGGATAAAATTAGATGACGCCCGTACTAATATTTCAAATAGAATTGTCTGATATCCAACCGAATGCGTTTTTTTACAGCTTTACTTTTTTAAAATTTGATGATAAAAATCAGTTGGTTTTCTTAGCAGAATAAAGCAAACTGTACATTTCTAGTCGCTTCTGTCTTTTATTAATTGATTATTCAAGTTGTCTATAGTTTTTTGGAAATCAAGATCTCCAATAATCATAATGTGCTGTGAAAAGTATATGCTTATGCTCCTTCATTTTTCGCGTATGTTTAACGGAATTTGCTCTTGCAAAGTTCGTGGAAATTCTGAAATTTTTCGTTTTTCATAAAATTTTTATCTAAGTAACATTTTTGTCATAAACTTTTTATCAAAATTTTCAAATGAAAGCAGAAAATATCTTCTTCTCTCTCATTGTTTCATTCCGGCATTCTTAAAAAAAAATTTATGAAACTGATAAATTTCGATTCAGAATGCTCGATTCAGAATCAACAAAAGTTAACATTCAATTGCTCACTTAAATGAGGACGTATATATCCCTTAATTTTGGGCATGAAAACAATAATAACAAAAAAATTGGTCATTAATTTTTTACGAAACTACTTCAAAGAATCTTTGCATAGAAAACGAAATTTTCATAAGGAGTCACAAAAGATCTTGCTTCTTTGTAATTATTGTTTAACTTTGGCATCATTAAGAAATCTTTGAAACTCATAAATATGATAGTAGCCTATAACTCCTCGATTCAGAATCATCAAAAGTTGATATTTAATTGTTCACTTAAATGAGGACATATTTACCCCTTAATGTTATGCGTCAAAACAATAATAACACAAAATTGCTCATTAATTATTTAAGAAGCTACTTCAAAGAATCTTTGCCCAAAAATTGAAATTTCCATAGCGAAGCATGAAATGTCCGCTGAAAGAAAAAATTAAACTAATAAAGAATAATAACAGAGTTTTAATAAATTAACTGATGAATTTTAGCAATTAATTACACCGTACATTTTGTGTTCATCATAATTAATCATTGCATTGTAATGAGCTGTTCAATATTGTAGACAAATAATACAAGTCAGAAGCTTGTATCTTTTCATTCTGCAGAAAATAATACAGTAGATAACCAACATGTAAATGCTGTCAAATAGATTCTTTTTTGATTGATACTAGTTTAGAAAACTGCCATAAAAAATATGCATCGGCATTAAAGCATTTAATATTATTTGAATTTTTTGCGCCTAGTTATTATTTTGTTGTAAAAATATATTTGATAATTTGTGATATTATGTAATTATGGTAATCAGATTCGAAATATTCGTTAAATAACTTGATAAAAAATTACAATATTTTGTGAAGTAAAAGAATGTAATTTCATTTTAAGTTAAATTGATAAGAATTCATAAAAAGTTGAATTCAACAGTTTCATTTTTAAACAGAAACAAGATGGCGAGTTGTATACCAATCAAAATTATAAGGGAGAAATATCATTGAAGCTTGAAAATGTTTTGAGTTCAACCTGGAGCTAAATGTTCGGAGCTATCAACCTTGAAAATTGGCTTGCTGAAAGATGCCAAATGGCAATGTGTGTTTACAATCTGGAGTTTGGGTTAGCAGAATAAGTTAAGCTTTCAAAAGACAATTATTAGCCAAAAAACGGAAACTTGAATTACAATCGATGTTCCCCAGGATTAATCGATTGAAAAGTTAAAAATAAACATGTAAAAGGAAATGGGCACGGTCTTATTCAAACTAAATATAGAGTAGTGTAACTGATCGATTGGAGAAAGAATATCTTTCAAGTGAAAGGAAATTAAATTAATAAATTTGAAATATTATTACGATACGACAGTGATCAAATTCTCAATCAAATTCTGCCAATGCAGTTTTGTAGTTTTAGGTTGAAATGGGCATTTGATAAAAATCTTGAAATAAAAAAGAATTTAAAAAGAAAAACAAATTTAGAAAAACTCTTTTAGCAAATTTATGTCTTTATCCCTTTCTGATGTTTTCAAGAATACTTTACTCAAAGTTGCTGATAAAATAAAAAACATATCAAAATATGAATGTTGGTTAGCAGTTTCATAAGATCCTTGTCATTTTAATAGTTATTTCAGGCCCCAAAATTTTAATAAAATCATTGCTGCATAGTAATAATTGGAAATATATTCATTCTTTTAATATTTGTTTTTATGTAAATTTGACATTTCAAATAAGTAAAGAAATTAATGTTTCTCAATTATAAATAGTTTTAACAGACATTCAATGTAATGATTAAAGTTTGATAATTTCGACTTCATATATTAGATGCATTCACTAATTAACGAGGCAGAGGCACTGTAACCAAAACTATGTTATTCTGAAAAATTGGAAACATTTCTGAAATGTTGTTTTTGGTGTGATATAACGAATTTACGAACTAGAGGGCCGCACACAATGGTGAAATGATGATGACCGATCAATTGTCGTTCAATTCATTCATTCTGTTTCTCAAAACAATGGTAATAGAGAGTCCTATAGCCAAGGGGCATTGTCGATTTCCTCAAGCTATGACGCAAACATCAATGATCGCAGCATTTGGAAATGTGTTTATAAAGCTCAAAAACGCAAACAAATCGAAACGTCCCTGTAAACTTTCTTGTGAAGTCATCTGATTACAACTCAAAGCTAGACCACGCACAATCGAGACAATAAAATTATTTTTTCAGAAATTCAAATGAGAATTCCTGAACCATCCACCTTATAGCCGAGATCTGTCCCCAAGTTAGTTCCACACCTTTCATGATCTCAAAAGTGCACTTAAGGAACATTAGTTATAACTGCGATGTTAATGTGCGCTTGAACAACTGGCCCAAACAGCAGCCAATGATAATTTTGCGATCATGGCATTATATGATTAGTGTCCCAATAAGTGAAATGCTTAAATAATTGTAGACTATAAATTTGACTTTCATTAAATAAAATTTATGAATAAGCCTTTAACTCGTTATTTATTGACTGAACCGAATAATTATTGAAAATGTTACCTTCTCCAGTACTAGCACAAATTTCAAAATATGTGCCTCCAATAGACTCTGCATATTTTTTAGCTTCTTTTTCGGAAATTTCTCTATTTCCTATAAGATCTCTTTTATTGCCCACCAATACAAAAATGCATTCATCGTTTGCATTCTGTTGAACACCTGAAAAAGAATAATTATCAGAAAACAAATTTTATGATGTAGGCTTTAGAAAGATAATCTTTTGAAAATATTTAAAAGAAATTTTATTATTAAGGCTTGGAAATCTAATCTTTTATAGAAATTTTGATAGCTAAACGTTTGAAAATATTTTATAGAAATTTTATAATCAAGGCTTTGGAAAGCTGAACAAAAAATCGCCTTTGGCAATAACGCACGATGGCCACTTTTTGGAGGACTTGGTTATTTTGGCTTTATACTTAAAAGAAGTGTGAATTCATTATTAAAATCATTCTTAACACTAGATTGCCCAAGGAAGTCATTTTGACTGCTTTTTAATTTCAATTAGAAAAACAATGATGTATATAAAGACACAATTTCTTAGAATTTTGTGATTTTTATAATTATTTTCATTATTGATATTTACTAATAACTTGCTATATAACTGAAAATAATATAAAAAATATTAAAAACTAATTTCAAACAAATTTCTTCATACATTAGTTATTCATTCACAATGCAGTCATTTTGACTGCTTTTGGGTAATATAGGTATTTCAGTTTTTCTAGTGTTCAGAAGTTTTGTTTCTGCTACTTTTATTTCTTCGGAAATGCTATTACTTAATCGAACTATTTTCAATTATTTATTTTAAAACCTATTGCCTAACTAATAAATATTTATAGCAGAGAAAAGTGTACTTGCACAAAGTTGTCTGCGTGTAGATGACTTCAACTCTTTTGCGAAAAAACTTATCATTTGCATTATTAATGATGATGATATGGCAGAAAAAGCAAACAAAATCTTTCATGTTTCCATGATTACCAAATATAAAGATTTTTGTATGCATGTATCAAGAGCAGATAAGTTTTTCGGAATGTTCCCTTTTCAAATAATGATGGTTAAAATGCCATTTCAACTCAAGAAAAATCAGCTTATTTGTAAAATTGCCAAATTTTGAATGATAGATGGGCGATTCTTTCGTTACGTGTGTTACTTTTACACGACATATTTCAACTTTAACACTTATTATAATAAACTTGTTAGATATTTTTTATGTTTTTCTTAATTTGTTGTTAAATCTATATGTGTTGTAAGTTTTCAAAACGAAGATTGAAGGCGCAAATTAATTTGATGTTGAAAAAAAAAATTTCTGAAATTTTGTTACGTGTGTTACCCTTTATAATGCTAGATATTTGAAACTTTGAATATATTCATTTAATTCTGTGAAGTATAAAGGCAAAAAATTAAGATATTTTCTTTTATAGAGAGATACAATATCGAAGCTGTGTTTAGTGATTTTTAAAAATTTCTTGCAACAGTAAAAACTTCTTTATTTTGGTGAAATTGGTGCGTTACGTGTGTTAACTGAACGTTACGTGTGTTACCCTCTGTGAATATTTCAACTGAGAAGTCATAAATGTTGCACTAAAACATTTATTTATTTTAATTTAGCAGAAGAAAAACAATTTATTTTAGCAAATAAAATAGTTAATGGTCTGGAAAGATGNTTCATATATATATATATATATATATATTTAATCATTATTTATATTAATTTAATCATTGATTTATTTGTTTCTCAAGTCAGAGACTTTGCCTTTGATCATGTTTCATTAAAATTATAATAAAACAACAGTTTTCAAAAAATAAACTTTTTTTTAAATATCAGCAATATTAGCATACATCAATATTACGGTACTATTATTTTTTTAAGGAATGACAGTGTTTTATACTTTAAGTGGAAAAATATTCATTTTGACGAAATACGCAGATTATTGTTCACAATATAATCAAAATGCATTACAAGAACGCATTTTTTAACAAAATTAATTGAATGATATGTTTCAATAATAGATTTTAAGTCTAAGTGCATTTTTAAAAAAACTAGTCAAGATTACAAAGTTTAATTATTACGAATTTGATTCTTATCACTGCCTATGCTATATAATTCGTAAAAAGCATCCGTAATTAACATCAAGAAATTAATAACTTTGTAATTGCGTTATTCAAAATATTTCGTTCTTTCAAATTATAAAAAGTACACATTTTATTTCCATGACCTTTCGCTGAAAAGGCATTTTAAATACTGTATATTGCTTTAGCTTATTATAGAAAGGCATTACGCTTGACAATGCATATTACAGTACTTAAAGCAAAGCAATTAAATATACCACATTGCAGTAAATGGATTTTATGGAGCATTGTATTATGAATTATTAGAATAGGGAGGAAGCACTTTTTGAGATAAATACTTATCTTATATCTTTTATGAATATGAGATAGCTCTTTCAGAATAAAATTATTCATACTTTCATTACATATTTTCTTTCTGCGACCTTTCGCTGAAAAGGCATTTTAAATACTGTATATTGCTTTGGCTTATTATAGAAAGGCATTAGGCTTGACAATGCATATTATAGTACTTAAAGCAAAGCAATTAAATATACCACATTGCAGTAAGTGGGCTTTATGGAGCACTGTATTATGAATGTATTATGAAAATAATGAAGAAGCACTTTTCGAGATAAATATTTATCATATATTTTTTATAAATATGAGTTATATAGCTCCGTATGAATAATTATCTTTCTTTGTGAATAAATATTATGAATATTAGAAATAGTTCTTTATGAATAAAATTAAGAAAGGTAAATACTCACGAATAAAATACTCACGATTGTTCGAATTAAAATATTTTAATTAATAAAATACACACTTACTGATGACCCAAGCTTGTAAATCATAAAATGATTCTCTGGATGTGATATCAAAAACACACATGGCTGCTCTTGTGGCTTTATAAAATATAGGACCCTAAAATCATTAATGTTTAGCATTATAATATGCATTTCAGTCTAAAAATACAATAAATATACATTTAAATTCATTTCAAGGAAAAAAATTTAGAGTTTAAATTCCTTTATCGTCAATAATTTTAATTCATTTTGTTTTTACGAATTATTTTTTTTATGTAATGAATGAACAGTTGTATTATTTAACAGGCGCCCATACTAAGACTTTCACTTCTTCACCGCAAAAAATTCTGGATAAAATTACGGTAAAAAGGTTCCGGCACTCACGGTACCTGTACTTTTTGCAGTAAAACTTTCCTGAACAAAAAACTTAACATACCATAATTTTTACAGTGACCAATTACTGTAAAATCACTAATCATTGCAATTAGAAAAATATTACTGTATAAATTACGGTTTGCAATTTTACAGTAAAAATGGTTTTTACGGTAAAATGTATTTTGCGAATGCTGCGTTCAAGGAGTCAGCTCTTTTTATCGTAATTAAATTGTTTAATATTAAACATGATTATAAGATTTAATTTCGTATCGTATTAAGGATGCAGCAAAATTGCACAATATTGTGGTTCAACAAGTTCTAAAATTTCTAACTGTGCAATGATCATATAGAGCTCTAAACTTTAAGTTTACTCAACATGCGTTCTAGTAGTATTAGTTCCGTTATCTGTGGAACTTTTCGAAACACGACTGGCTATAAAATTACGGAAAACCGATATCTTCAGCCTACGTCATCATATTGAGTTAATATAACATATTTTAAATTTGTGCTTCAAATATGTATATAAGTTTTTCCTTAATTTCTTGGCTTTTCAAACTATTTAATAAAATTACTAATTTCTTTGCAATTAATTTCTTATCCATTCATTTTAGAAACTGTTGCATGTTTAAGCTTCCTAAAGATGGTGTTCAGAATAAAATAAAATAACTCACTGAATTTATTTTTGTTAAAAATTACATTGAAATAGTTGAAATGTGATTTTTAATTTAAAAGTTTAACATTTAATAATAAAACTATAAATTAAGATTCTAAATTGGGATAAATCATAAAAAAATGTAACAAATTAATACTTTATTTATTTGTGGTTTGCTTATATTGTACAGTAAATTGATTTTAACAACTAAGTTCTCTAGCACGGGAAAAGTTCGAGAAAAAAATTTAAAGCTTTTGTTATTTACAACATTTTTATTCAGTATGAAAACATTTTTATTCAGTATGAAGAAAAATTCCTTTAAAAAATTGAAAATGTATAATGAATGCTTTTTCAATAAAGTTTTTAAAATATTTCAATTATAATAAAATATTTCATTCTTACATAACCGTTTTCATCATGGGCTAAAGGGCCCTAATACCCGAGTTCATGTGGAGCTCTAAAAGCTGTATATCTTATTAAATTTCTTTTTATAAAAAAATATACATTATAGTCTAACTAATATGTTTAAAAAGTGTGTTAGGTAGAGAATGGGATAAAATACTAAAAGAAAAATCACCTTAAAAAATTACAAGTTCCGTACATATCATCATATGTTTCGTATAGAATTAATATAGTATAATTCTTATTTTGATGATAATAATGATCCTCTTATTTTTTTTAAACCTTAAATTTAATCTATCATTAACAAAACATAAAATTTAACATAATAAGTCCATAAATTTTTACATAACATTTGTAATTCAAAAATTATTCATTAGATTTTATTCCCTTTTTTAGCACATGAGACTGAGTAGATGAGAACTTTGACATTTTTTTAACAGTTCCCCATAATTTGCATGGTTAGCCATACAGAAAATAAGGTAACCAATTTAAATCGGCATGTAGTCAGAATTAGAATAACAATAGCTTTATGGTTCGTGTAAATAAGTCTGAAGCTGTAAATTGCCAACTTTTATTGTTATAACGATTTTATTAAAAATATAAAAATTTCATGAGAAGAACCAAATTTGATAATACAATGATCGTCTTACCTTCTTCGGAGAATAAAGTTTGATGAATGTTAAATACAATATACTGTTAGGAACTTTATAAAGCGTTGAACCCTAATTTCGTCAAAAGTTTGCTTCAACCATAAAATGTTGCCAAGTTGAACCATATTGCATTACTTCGCAAACTATATTACACAATGCTTTGCACTGTTAAAAAATTCCTCGGGAAAAAATGGTTAAATAACAATTTATTTAACTGTTATTTTCTCATATTCAAATAAAACAGTCAAATAACCATAAATAAGATGGTATTCAAACTGTAAATTGTGAGAAAAACAGTTTATTAGCTGCTTTCACCTAATACGGTTAAACAACCAGAATTTTATCGCGCCAATTTTAATACCAAAAAAAATTCTGGTAAAACTACCGCACTGTATGGTAATTAAATTTTAGGTAAAACAACCATAATCCTGGTTACAAAAACGTAATATACGGTATTTAAACCATTTATTTGATAATCTTTCCGCTTATATTGTAACTGTTTACGGGAAATTCTGGTTTTCAAAATTATAGTTCTTATTACTACACATTTAATAAAAAATACAAAACTGGAAAGTAAATTTTCACCGAAAAAATGATTTTTAAGTTATACTCTATAGAATAATGATAAAATTGCAAAATCTTTTCATATTTATTAAATTTTATCACTTGTTATCAAATTATATTTTATTGTTATTTTTACCAAAATCATTACCAAAGCGCTTCGGTAAAAAATTCCGTGTTTTTTGGTGCTCCCATAAAACCAGAAACACGATACATTTGATCATATTCTGGTCGTTTTGACGAAACTATTTTTTTCTCAATGAATTATTGAGGTCTGCAAGCTCAAAGAGGGTTAAAATAATATTAAACTAATTTAATATGGAAAGAAGCTTACAAGCTGTCCCAAATGAAATGCGAATAAATTTCCGTTCCACTAGAAAAGTTCAATGGTTTTTCATGATTTGTGTATATAAAGTTTGCTTAATCTTTCACAATGATTTCAAAAATATTAATTAAAGGCATTCATTATGAAGCAAATTTTCTTAACACTTTCTATCATAGAATATTAGAACATAGAATATTGGAAGTACAGGGAATTTTATCTACTTTGCACTGATTACGAAAAAGTATATTTTAAAAAAAATCAATATTGTAAGAAATAAAGATATATCTCTTTTTTTGAACAGAAAATGAATTATCGAAAAGTATTTAACAAGGTGTCTACCATTATATTAATAATAAGTTGATAATATAATTTAATATGTTAAACATCGTTTAATAAGAATATAAATTACTCCAAAGCAGGTTTTTTGTGATATTTGTCAAGTAAATTGAAGAGATGCATTTTCGTATAATTCATAATTGCCGAATGTTCAATGCAATACGTGTAAACTTTGTGACAATATCTCCATAAACAAGACTATGTAGATAATTGATTATCACACATCATTCTTTTATTCCAGAATTTTCTAAAATGTATTTGAATAAACAAAAATTTAGGTGCATTGATTACTCTATCTTAAAGAAACTCCTTTGTAAGAAAGGGAAAATTCAATCAGCATCAAATGCTATTAAAATTTTTTCAGCTGTTTTAGAATTTAAGATGTTAAATTTCGCACAATTTTAGATAGAACCAAAAAGTAAATATTAAACAAAATATTTTTCTGTCAAATTTAATGTAGTTTCAAGACTTAGAAAGAACTGTATATTATTTTATAGTATAAAACAATAATTGTAAACATTAAAGCCAAGTTTTTAACAAAAGGAATTGTAAATCCATTTAATCAGTTTGACACTTATGATAAGTAAAGCCTTGAACAGAGTAATAGCAAAAACAATTTATGACATTTTAATCCGAACAAATAGGTTATTAAAATATTTTGAAACTAAACAAACAAATGATGAAAAAATCTCGATTGTACTACTGCGGCTTCAATAGTTTTAAAAATTATTTGAACAGCGCAGTCTGAGTTTAAAGTAAATTTAGCAAAATCAACAATAAATTTCTTAGTTAGTTGTAAATCGTCTACAATAGTCAATAAAATGAGGTGACATTTTTATTGAATCCAATAAATTTAAACAAAAAGAAATGTTTTATCACTTTTATCAATATGAGGAAACGTTAGAAAACTTTGGAAAATTGTTTATCTTTAAGCATTTTGTCTGTCCAGGGAGAAATAAAGCGTCATTTGAAGGAAAGTAGTTGATTTGTAAAATTCAAATTTATTTATCCAGATTTTAATTTAAATTTAACCGTAATGATTTGAAAAGGTTAGAAAAGCATATTATGAAATATGTTAAGTAATAAGCCCAAACGTAACAAATAAGAGTTATTTCAAACATTTTTTGACGGACAAAACCCAACTTTTTCGACATTAAAAAATAGAGATAGACTAATTGTATTCGTCACCAGATTATAATGACAGTTAGAAAAAAAAGAGATTGATATGAATGAAAATTTTTTCTTGTTTTGTAGTTTAATATGATAAGAAAAAATAACTGAAACAATTTCTTTTAATTTGGCTTTTTAACAAAATTATAAAAATTTGAATTTGATACTTTAAACTTAAAACATCTTATCTTAGTCATCCCTATCTATAGTTCCACGTTGGACTGATCATAAATAAGACGTGGCTCCCTGTAGATCACCGAAGTCAAGTATCACTGGCTGCAGTCAGTGTGCGGGTGGGTGCCCACTTTGATCAACCTGTGAAGAATCCAAAGATGCGAGGTATCATTCCTCGTTAAACTTGTCTACCGTTAAGTGCTTGGTTTCGCACGCAGAGCGTTGTGCTACCAAAGCGTAGGAACCATTTCCTCTGCTAAGCATCAAAATTGTAATGGCATATTTTCGGATAATCCTCTGGGATGTTTCTCAGACCGTCGCCAAAAACCCATTGTGTAAGCCAGGGTGGCTCAAGTGGTAAAGAGATCGCCTCCCAATGAGGTGACCCAGGTTCAAATCCCATTTATGGTTGGTTGACACGAATTCGCATTGACCACAATGCTGGCTGAAAATATCCTCAATGGTAAACGAATCATGGATTAGAGTCTCCTTGCCGTCAGGCTAAACATGGGAAGGTTTCGCAGTTTTTCTCTTTATGTAACACAAATGCGGGTTAGTTCCATCAAAAAGTGCTCCAAGAAGGCAAATTTCGTTCGATACTTGATCCAAGAGTTCTCTTGTCTTCTGGATTGAGTTAAAAATTGCATGACTTCCGAGTTGAACATTGATAGTCGTAAACTAAGAATTTTTCGGCTGTTAACGCTGGTTATAAAATATGAAATAAAATAAAATTAACCTATTGTGCAGCTCTAGTGCGACGTAAATAAAGTTTTACAACTACTCCTAAGCTTATCGATTTGAAATTTTCACTTAGTATAATTAGCATCACTCTTGAATGAACAGTAATTCCATTTCATTACAAATAAAGGTTACTAAAACTTTATTTCGCGAACCTAAACCTAAATAGTCATATTTTATTAATCTTTAAAAAATATTAATAGGAAACACAAAGTTTCATGTTTTATTAAAAAATTATTTTTTTTTAAATTTTATAAATAATTGTTAATTGTTTTGCATACAATTTTTACAATTAGTAGTCATGTGCTTACCATGCATCTAAAACGATCCTCTCCACAAGTATCCCAAATCTGTAGATCAACTTTGTAATTTCCAATTACCCTGAAAAATATAAGAAAAAATTTGCAATTTTTTATGTAATGTGTTTGTATAATCTAAACAGAAATAGTGCAATTTTGAAACAAAGACATAATTGTGAAGAGAGCAAAAAACTGTGACATCTTTTTCGGATTTTTCCCGTTTTGTTCCTAACTATCCCTTTTCAATGGGTTTCAATGTCATTGATGAAACAATTGTAACGCTTTGTTAGATTTAGTTCTGTCTCAAACTTTAGTCTAAATATTATATTTAATTTCTATTGTGAATATTTTTCAATGTTACATTCTCAATTAATATACACACTGAGGAAAAAAAAGTGCGAAGAAAATTTCCAGAATATGGTAAAATTTACCGTATTTCTGGTTCTTAGGGAACACTAAAAAACATTGAAATTTTTACCGAAACACTTTGGTAATAATTGAAGTGCTTTGGTAATGGTTTTAATATGTGATAAAATTCATAGATGCGATAATTTTATAATAATGCCTTAGAGCAAGCATAAAAACCATTTATACGGTTTAATTTACTTTTCAGTTTCGTATTTTTTACTAAATATGTGGCAATTAGAATTATAATTTTGCAAACCAGAATTTCCGGTAAACCACCATATGAGAAGAAAAATTACCAAATGAATGGTTTAAGTAGCGCATATTTTGATTTTATTAACCAAAATTATGTTTTTTTTACCAGATATGTTGTTACCATGCAGTGCAGTAATTTTACCAGAACTTTTTCCCCGTGTAGGCTATGACAAAGAAATTTTTTGTACAATAGTGTAAAATTTCTTAAAAACATAAATATTATGAACACACATCACGCAACCTTGACCGCTGATCAAGCACCTAGCACAGTTCTTAGGGCTCTATCTTTTAACAGAAAAATTGTTTAATTAATTTTAAAAACCGAGTGTACGTAAGATAATGGGAAATTTTTAGAGCCCCTTAACTCGTGGAGTATACAGGGAGGAGTGTTTAATCATTTAGCGCACATGCTCAGCAGAATATGCGGTTTCAATTTCCAAAAAAAAAAAATTACTAAAAGTTACTGATAAAAAATATTTGGTGTTTCTAACCTAATATACAACTAGAGCATCAGAACAGCAGATATATAGAGCCACAGATTTAAATAACAATAAATATTCCTTATTAATAAAGAGTAATATATTGTTTCAGTGGACAAATATGTATTCATTTACTGAACAGATTATGCTTGAAGTCCCCAAATTTTTCCTATTGGTAAATTTCGACTCTAATAAAAAAAATTTTTTTATTAAATCGCATACTACTGTTCAGCTTTAATCAATAGTTTTTTCCTTTTAGCATCTATCTCAGTACATCAAATAATTTTGAGTTTTAAATACCTCACTTTATTTTATGTTCATCCTGTACTAAACATTATATGAAACATCTATGTTTGTGTACAACAAATGAAAACAACGAAGCACTTTCAAAAACATTTAATAAAAAGAACACAATACTTCAGGCAATGAATAAAATGGTATTGTCAAAAACAATTTAGGAGTAAGAAACGATGCGTCTTACAGATTCACGTCTTAACTAACAATTACGCAAAAACAAACCGACTATTCTATTTTAAGCTTTAAAGAACACGCGCGCGTCATACTTGAGTGCTAATCTAAACATAAGCTAGGTACATCTTTTGTAAAATAATTTTACCTTGCGACACAACAAGTTATTGGAATGATTTACAATATTAAGTGACTGAAACTTTAACAAAAGGAATATTTAAATGTATAACTTTATCTGTATTATCGTTAGTTTTTCCGTTTCCAGTGATAAAATGTCACCGTATTCAAGGTTGCTAATTTCTTTGAGGTGACAACAGTTACGTTTGAATATAATTTATATTCTTTATTGCTATTATATAAAATCACATAATCTAAACAAACTTTATGAAATAAATTTTGCAATTGATTATTAACAAGTTATTTGAATGATTTACAATATTAAGTGACTAAAACTTTAACAAAAGAAAGATTTAGATGCACAACTTTATCTGTATTATTGTTAGTTTTTCCGTTTTCAGGGATAAAATGTCACCATATTCAAGGCTGTTAATACCTTTGAGAACAGTAATGTTTTAATATAATTTGTATTCTTTATTGCTATTACATAAAATATATAATCCAAATAATTTTTATAAAAATAAATTTTGTAATTTATTATGCTTGCATTACCTGTTGTATATTTTTCAACTATTGAGCTTTTTACTCGTATAAATGAGTTTAGCAAGCTATTATGTCTGTATGATAAACTGTATGTTGTTAATTATTAGTTGTATTCTGTTGATTATGCTTATGAGCTGTATCAGTTTGAACATAGCCATTTTGACAACTAGCATCAATACCGAATAAGCAGCCATTTGAAGTATTGTGCATTGTGTAAGAACTGTAAAATAAATTTTTTTATTTTTAAGTCATTAAACGATTCCGTGAAAAACCTAAATAAGTTTGTAATAAGTAACAGTTTCATTTATTCATCAAACGTACTTTCCTTAAAATATAAAATTTACTACTTAAAAAATAAGCATTTTATGATTCATATAACGTTTTATTATTTAGGAATTTATAGCTAAAAAAAGAGCTAAGTGAAATGAAATCGAACAATCTTAGCTTTCATCCCACAAGTCGTTTTTTCATTCTTACCTTCATTTAACTAATTAATTCATTAATCTTTCAAACGTACGCTGACAAATTCCCTTCCCTTCCGATGACCCTTCCGATCTTGTTCAAAATTGAACATTCACGTTCTATTCATGAATGTATGCTTTTCCTTCATGAATTCATGAGGAATCTATTCATGAATCGAGTTCGTGAATTCATTTATAAAACATTCATGAATCTTACTTAAAAACATATTTAGTTCTAGTATTTGATTTGGTATCATGATACACAAGATATTTATGATATACATGAATTTTCAACTTATTTATAAAACATAAATTGGAACCGCTAAAACATCGGGTTAGTGTGTTGCTTTTGGTTGATTTTTAGTTTTTTATTATGTCGTCTAAAAATAACAAATACATAAGAATAATATCATTAAAAATCATACAAATAAGATACATATGAATATTAACTACTTACATGTTAAAATTAGCTATCGCCGTTCCTTTCACAATTTTAGAGAATGCATTTTTGTCAAATTTGGATGCCATTGTGCTCTTGCCTACTCCTTAAAAAAAGAAGACTTTGTTACAAATAATCCATAGTAATTTACAATGTGAAAAATATAATATATTTCAATTTAGAGTATCTGATTACAAGCAAATGCATAGTCATTTATTTCATTATTTCTTAAATGATTAATATTTCATCAAAAAAAAAACTGGTCGGATAACATTTAAAAAATTGATAAAAGTGTTATCCCTAAAAAATTTTGTCAATGTGCTAAATAAATTTGTGAGAAGAATACAGCAAAGAATCACAATTTCTCTTAAAATGTTATAAGTATGCCTGTTCATAGTATGAAATACCTAGTTTAATAAATTTATGTATTCTTTAGATTGAAATTGTATTACATACTTCACAATATGAAACGCTGCATCAAAACATACAGTTATCAATTCAAAACACATATAGTACATTTGAACAAATATATAATACAGCTATATATACAATAAATATAAAAGAGGTAATAAATAGAAACGTAGTTTTATGTGAAATTTTATCTTTTTAGCTCAAGAATTGAAAAAAATAAATTTTTAAATTATCCTAAGTATTATTAAAATCTCACATGAAAATATCTTTTTTGCTAAAATTTCAATATTATTCTTTAATAGAATTTCAATAATAAAATCTTGATAGTAAAATTTTAATATTCTTTTTTAATACAATTTTAATAATATTTACTTGCGAATAATCAGAGATGTTCGTTAACGCTTTTTTTTAAAAAACTGCGAAGTACATAAAATTTTCGTTATAAATTACGCGCAATCGTAAATTTAAGAGGTTTAAATGATAGCTGCCGTTAATAGCATGCTGCTATAAATTTCTCGGAAAAAATGGTTATATAACAATTTATTCAATTGTTATTTTACCATATTTAAAAAAAACAGTCAAATAATCAGAAATAAGATGGTATTCAAACAGTTAACTGTGAGAAAAATCGTTTATTACTTACTTCATACTGTTAAACAACTAAAATTTTATCGCACCAACTAAGCCCTTCTAACGCAGCCACTTAATACTTTGTAGTTAGGTACATATTATAGCCGAAAGGACTAATCTGTCAGTCTCATGCGCGACGGAACGTAGATTCAAGTCTCAGCTTTGACATCACAATATTGCCTTCATTCCTTTCACAGAAAGAGTTTCCAGTGTTCTGCACCCCCCAATTTGTGTCCTGCTTTCTCCAATGCCCATTACCTAACGAAAAACTTAGCTCCAATGCCTAGATTAATTTCTCTTTTACACTTTTGAAACCCTGCTCTTCGTAAATGATTAGAAAAAACACATAGATTTGCTTTCATGGTCTTATAATCATGCTAGTTGTAATCGGTTTTGTAACCATAAAGGTGAAAAACGTTCTTTCCCGTAAACTTTATGACTAACTGGATGGACAGACTGTTGCCTGTCATTTTACCATAATTTTAGAATGAAAATTCTCACAGTGCAAGCAAAAAAGGTTTTACAGACATAGTTAATGTAAAAGGAAAATGTAGTTGTAGTTTTAAAAAAAAATCCTTCTTTCTACTAACATAGTGAATCAAATGAAAAAGTAATTTTGGTTACATGTAAGACTAAAAGAAAATGTTTCGATGCAATTTCTACACCGGGCTTAACTTCTTAACATTTATTTCTATTATAACAAGACAAAAAGAAATGTTTTGAGTTTCAACTAAATCAAGTTTGCAGATTCCATTGACCTTAGGCTAATGATCCCATGTAACGTTTGCAGATGTTATTTTTAAAAACATCATATCTGTATTTGAATGTTAGATTAAAGTGAAATGGTAATTTAAGGTTTGAAATCATCAATGCAAAAATGTTTTTAAAATTTTATTGATACTCAGTATTTTGGCAGCTAAATTTTATTTTCAATGTGTTGTTCAAAAGATATAGTACTAACATATTATGTAACATATTGTCCAGCCTCGAAATTTACAGACAAAATAAAAACCGTTTTTTGCTTGTCATACTTCATATTTTTTAGAGAATTACAATGTAATCAGTTAATTTATTTGTTTTAAATGTTTTCTTACTTTTTTTATCGGATAGTAATAGTATAAATTTTAGACTTTTTTTGTGCTAGATATTTAGGTACTAATATTCTTAAGAAACTAAGTTTCTTAACGTATTAATATCCCTGAAATTAGCTAATTAAATAGAACTCCTTTTCTACGTGCAGCGTTTTAATTACTTTTGATATATGTTTTTATTATTAGCCTTATCTTTTATCAGTTTATAATAGCATAAATTTTAGATAATTTTTGTGTGCAATGTCTAATTTCATTTTTATAAGAAATTTAATCAAAATTAAATTTTAAAAAATTCGTATCGTCTTTCAAATATTAAGAAATTAAAATAAATATTTTTTTATGTATTTTCTATCACAGTGACATTTCATTTTATTTTGGAAATTTTTTTTTTACATATTTCACCGTCAAAAAAAAATAAGAATCAGCAGCTAAGAAAAGTTGGGTAATGTAAAACAGCTCATTAACTACTTGTCGTGAATGACTGTCACAATGTGTTAGGAGTGACTCAGAAGAAAAAAAAGCCTTGAAAGTGAAAGGTAGAAGTTTATATCGTTTTGATCAAAACTTATCATAAACATCACCTTGAAGCAAATTTAATATTGTGTACATCCATTCTTTGTTTTTTTTGACTCGCCTAGAATGGTTGGTCATTGTTAAAGGTGAGATGCTGACATTGTTTGACATTGAGACATAAAAACCTCGATCTTGACACTGAAGAGCGTAAAAGAACAACCAAGTCCGTCACAGCATCATTTTTATTTGTCGCAGGTGCAAGGACAGAAAACAGATCGCGTAGCCTTTACATTGAAATAAATTCCCCAGCGCAATCAATTTAGCTTTGATATATCTCCAAGAGTAAATATTAAATGTTTTTATGGATTTGTTTCAAATAAAATTGGTTGGATATAAACGTTCCATTTTTAATGTAGTTTGTTATCGCTTGTTGTATACCAAAATGTAAACCCCGTAGCACGACATTTACGATCTCATCTATGAGATGCATATCGTCTTGAATCTTAGCATTGAATATTATCGTAAAACTCTTAGCTTAATCGTAAAACTAAACAGACCTGAGAATTTTATTTTGCAACAATAGGTCGCTGAAGATGTCGATTAATATTATTCTAGATGATTTCAATTTTTAATCGAACTCGTTTAAATCCTAATATCAATCATATTATTGAGTTGTTTTCCTTTGTACATAATTTTTTTCAAAGTTATTGTTGCGAAATGGCTGCATATTATTGAAAGTTTTTTAAGTTTACAAAAACTATAAATGTAATAAGAAATATCCTACTTATATCGAAAGCGTATTCGAAGTAAAAACCAAACTAATGATTTTGAAGTTATTTGTATAAAAAATTGTGAGAACTACACAACCAGCAAGTATGAAAAAAGCCATTATGAGAAAACGCGATTCAAAGTTTGCGAAGGCTAGTTCTACCTAAATTAACGTTTACACAATGAAGTATGAGATGTATCGTTCTTATTTGAAATAATTTCCCTTTTTTTCATTTAAGGAATCGTTCTTGAATGGGCATGCTGCAAAAAAAAAATATTTAAAAATATACACTCTAAAATATTTTAAAAATAACAGAGTAATATTTTCCTTTAATCTAAATACTGGTACAGAAAACTAAAAAAATTGGAAGTATACTGTGAAAGAAAGTCAAAAATCAATACAATATCATCAAAAAGTGTTTTGTAATTCAATAAGTAAAGTTTTGATTGCATATTGGTTATTTTATAATTTAAACTCCCTATATTCTTTTTCTGTATAATAATGAATCTAAGTTTTTAGTATATATTCAAAATTTAATCTCAAAATTAGGCTCCAGCTTTTCCTTAAATATTTAAGCAGCAATATTATTTCAATGAACTCAAAAATAAAAATACTTAGAAAAAGTGTTTTTACTTAACGTTCTGTTGTAAAAAAAGTATTTTTATCGAAAAAAAATTAAAATGTATCTATTATTACTTTTAATCATTTATTTTCATAATAATAGTATATGCGTAATTGTTCAACTGAAGTATTGTTGTTTAAAGTAAAAATAAAATTACACTTTGAATGAGGATCTATTAAAAAAGGAACCTATTTGAAAAAGTGCACTATTTGAAAAATATTTATTTCTTGCAAAAGAGATCTAAATCAAAATTTAAAGTTTCTGAGGATTCATTTTAATTCATCAATAAAGAATTGATTCGAGCCGTGGTAGCCCACTATTAGCGAATCGGAATCTAGTCTGGAGGGACCGGGGTTCGATCCTCGACTCCGCTAAGACACACCAAGTACATGCAATTTACATGCTCGTAAAATCTATGGAATCGAAAGTCCTGTGGTCAGTCACAGAGTACAGGTATTTGGAGAAAATTTGGTATACTATTTAAATCATTGGTTTACTATTAATATCATTGGTATAATATTTAAAAGAACACTTGATATAAGAAATCGCAATATCGATTGATTTAAAGTAAACAGCCATTGATGATGTATCTATACTATAAAATTTGACAATTGCGTTAATTAACTAATTCGCCGTTTCCTCTTTTCTCTCATATAATTTTTAAAGAGTAGTGTTATCACTAGTTTCAAGAAGTTAGTTGAATAGATAAAATCAATTACAATTTTTAAATGTCACCTAAGGTATAGTGAGACTATTGTAAAGCATGGAAATAAAAATGAAATTTATTTGAAATCCAACAAAGAATCGTTATTCTCGAAGCACTTTTGCGTGTCTAAAAATTGAATAAGATTTCAAATTATGTGCGTCACACACATGAAGCTTTTTTTTTTACCATTTTCGTCGGGTTTTCTTACACCAAATATTACGACATAATGTCAAACGAAATAGTATTATGCGTGAGATGTTACATTAGTCAAAGAACTATTATCTAACATGAAGATACATAACTTATTTTGAAGTATGCTACGAAATATATGATAAATAATCACGCAAAATATTGAGAAAATTAA